TCTATGAAGGGACATAAACCGGTGCAACACACACGTTCCACGCCAGGAACAAAAGGTCTATGAAGGGACATAAAACTTTTATTGGGTGTTTGACCAAACGGCTATCCGTAGTGACGTCATCTAATGGAAATTTGTCTAACAGTGGCAAGATGGCTACGGAACCAAATAAGACTGAGATCCTCACCATTTTTAAAAGACTTAGATCCATTGCCACAAACAAGGTAACCGAATAGGACGCCCTCCGCCGTTGTGTGTGCATGTTTTTTTTTTTATATATGTACATATACATATATGTGTATATATATATATATATATATATATACACACATCCCATGTAGCTAGCTCCCATGTAGCTGGTCCTAGCATGTAGCTAGGCCCGACTACATGGGAGCTAACGACTGCTAGCCTCAAACATAAAGGCCACGTATACGGGTTGTGTATGCTGAGGAGGGGAAGCTAACCACTTACGCCTCACTACGTTATGGAAAAGTATTAACGAGACAACTGGATAGTCTAAAACTCTAGATACTTACAAAATAAGACTCGGTTTAACAAAGATATTTACGTGAAGGATTGACAGTATTGAACCATATGCTATCCAATGCTAGCAGTGTCTGACGTAGTAACTACCGGTAGCTGCAGGACATATGGCAGGCTGGCTTGGGATCAGTTTAACATTAATTTTAGGTGTATTGTATCTGATTTGGTACGTTTTATTAAAGCTGGTTACAACGAGAGTGTAAATCAAATCCAGTGGTCAAATGTAACGAAGTAGATTGAACTTAATCAAATCTTCAGGTACTTTACTTGAGTGTTTACATTTTGTGTAACTTTATACTTCTACTGTACTCCATCTCAGAGGTACATATTCTTCTTTATACTGCACTACATCTCAGAGGTACATATTGTACTTTCTACTGTACTACATCTCAGAGGTAAATATAGTACTTTCTACTGTACTACATCTCAGAGGTACATATTGTACTTTATACTGTACTACATCTCAGAGGTACATATTGTACTTTATACTGTAGTACATCAGAGGTACATATTATACTTTATACTGTACTACATCTCAGAGGTACATATTGTACTTTATACTGTAGTACATCAGAGGTACATATTGAAGGATGGAGTGTTCCTTCATCTGTTGGTGTTGACTGAACCGGCTCTCTGCAGTGTAATAACCACTGAGATGTTGATGCTAACAATAGCTCATGGGATGTGCGTGTTGTTTCTGCACAGGGATGTTTTGACTGCGCCGCCAAAAACCCGAGCTGGGCGAGTATCTCCTACGGCGTGTTCTTGTGCATCGACTGCTCCGGCATCCACCGCTCCCTGGGAGTGCATCTCAGCTTCATCAGGTAAGCTTCAGTGTGCCGCTGTCAACAGTCCGCATCATGGCGCCCACCTCTGAGAGGAGTTGAGCTGTCTGAAGGAAAGACTTTAATGACATTGTGTTCTGTGTAGAGAATAGTTCTGTGACCACAGATTGTGAATGACTCAGAATTCGCAGATGCGTGTCACCGTGGAGCCCACACTGTCACTAACTGCACTCCCTGAACATGTGTTATTTAACAGAAAAGACAGACAGAAAGGTCTACTTTATGTGTTTGAAGTATATGACCAGGATGAAAGCAGGTTAAACCGATAAAGATAGAATCACCAGACAGACAATGGAATAAAGGAAGAACACTGTTCCTGTACAGCTGGGCAGCTTTTTATTCACTGTTAGAAGGATTAAAAAAGGGAAATCAGCATGTGTTTACATTCAGTAGCTCATCAGACAAATCAAAATTAAAAAGATCAGATTCCTGCTGTTCATGAAGCACAGTTTTGAGTCAATACATCAGATTTGGTCCACTGCTGATTTGTTCTCCATGTTCTTCCCTCTATGCCTCAGGTCCACTGAGTTAGACTCCAACTGGAACTGGTTCCAGCTCAGATGCATGCAGGTTGGAGGCAATGCCAATGCGGTGAGTCTAGCTTGAGGTCAGGCGTGAATCAAATTTTAAAGAATGAGATACAAGATGTTTAGGTCCATGACCCATGTTCAAGGTAGTGTAATTAGCTAGACATCAATAACTCCTCCTTCTGTTTGAAGACGGCCTTCTTCCGTCAGCACGGCTGCACCACAAACGACACCAACGCCAAGTACAACAGCCGCGCAGCTCAGCTGTACCGGGAGAAGATCCGGCACCAAGCTAACGCCGCGTTGTCCAAATATGGCTCAGACGTGAGTATCACTCGAGTGGAAACCGTTTAAAGGGGGATGAGTCTCGTGTTGTAGGGCTGCACAATTAACTAAAGTGTCTGTATTTGTATTGCACACACACACACACACACATACGGACACTTACACTATCTGAGCTTTTCTGATCCAGGATGGTTTTTATAGTCATGTGATACGTTTGTGACCTCTTGTAGTCTGACAGCTGATAGCTGCACACAACAACCCGACCAGGTGGTTTGTTTTTGTCAGAACTGAACAGAAATGAGCCGGCGTCCTGTCGATCATTGTCGTGTTACATCAGAGTCTGAGCCGTGCTGGCAGGTCTGGTTCAGAGTCCACACGGTGCACGGATCACGCTACCCGATGATAAGAACATGAGAGACTTGTAACGCTGCTGTGTGAACACAACGTGTCTCAGTTGTCACTCTTCTTGTCTTTGTCGCAGCTCTGGATCGAATCTTCTGCAGGAGGAACTCCTTCAGCTCCTCAGAAGAAAGAGGCAGACTTTTTTGCAGAACTCACACAGGTGTGTGTGTGAGAGTGAGTGAGTGAGTGAGTGACAAAACCCCGGCAGCCATCTTCAATAAATACGTTGGTGATCACTAAACGTATTTAGCCAAATATCAGGAGAGATCTTTGTTTTTTTTATTTGAGTAGTAGTGGATTATTTCAGACCCTTTTTTTAATATAAACACCTAAAAGATGATAATTAGACAGTTAAGTGAAACACAACAGTACATCTGAAATTCAAGTTATTAGTAATATCAGTAAATATAAACAACAGCATTAATACCACAAAAACATAGTAAAGTTGAGACAAATGGGTCTAAAATGTGTAAAAACGTTTAAAAAAACAGAACTATAGCGAATGAAAACATGAGCATAATCACCATTAAAGGAAGTAGTGTTTGTGTTGTTGGTAAATCTGTGTTAATAACATATTGTTGACATTACTGTGATGCAGCATCGTGTCATCAGCTGAAACGCGTTGTAGTTGATACATCTGTGATAAATGTTATGCTGCTGGACCGACATTATGAAATGTTTTCTCTTGCTCCATAGAAAACATAAATACTTTGTGTTTCTCTGTCTCCGTCCTGAGAATGCTGACGACTGGAGCATGGCGCCGGAGCAGAATGGAGCCGCTCTGACCTCACAGCTGATGGACACGCTGGCCAAAGGCCAGGAGGACACCCGTCAGTAGAACAAGCCTTTGTCTTATCGGGTTTACACATTTTAAAGGTTCTATAAAACAGATGCATCAGCTGCTCTGAATTTCGATTATTCAATAAAAGGAGTGTTTTGTGATGCTGTTCACAGAGCTGGAGGAAGGACCCAGCATCCACGGTCTGAGCTCATCACCCAAAGCCTGCGTGGGTGAGTCTGTGAGCTCCACTCGGCTCTTTCATAACCTCAGCGCTGTCATCTGCAGCCCCCCCCCCCCCCCCTCATGGTGGACACGTGTGCTTATTCTCAGTGATGTTCTCCCTGTGCCTGGAGCTCCATTCATTATCCGAGTGTGTATGTCTGTACCGACATGCATCTGCAGATTGTTTCCCTGATTCATTATACTGATTCATATTCAACTATTTAGTGTATTTCATAGAAACAGATGCAGCAGAATGTGCTTCACTGAAACGGTTCAGACCAACAGAAAGAATATAAATCAAATAGAGAGATTCATGAATGATCAGAATAGTTTTTAATATAATTATCAGCACACGTTGTGTCTGCAGGTGAATAAAGCATTGAGCTAAAGGAAAGTCTTTAAGTGAACCGCTCGGTTATCTTTACTTTACTTTCCTGTCGACTGATTCATGAATCCATATTTTGTGTGTAACTGTAACTGTGGCTGAGAGCTTGATGTTGATGTTAAATGGGCTCCTTCTGTGTTTTGGACGGTGGTTGTGATGACGCGTAGACGACTCCATGCGTCTGTCCTCACAGGATGGACGGACACCTGAAGGTGACTAGCCGCTGTCGGTGCCGGCGGTTGCATGGCTGTGTGGCTTGATTTGACTCTTCAGCTTTCTGCCGATCTCACCGCAGAAAAGGACTCGTTCAGGAGAAACGCTTTCGGCTGTTTCTGCTCGTCGTCTCAACAAGTTACAACAAGTTACCGCTGCATTGTGTAAACAGAGGTCATTGTGGAGCTTAAATGCCTGCAGGTGATCCGTGTGATGCTGCTGACATTCCACATGACAAGTGTTGACGTTGTGCGTCATAACTCTTCATGGAAAGGTTCAAAGGATTCTAAAAACAGTCTGCCGTCTCTGAACGCATAGTTTCCTGAAGTGTCTGTGATTTAAGGTCCTCCTCTCAGCGCGCAGGTAACAGACTCACTAGCACCTCGTCTGTGCTGCTGGTTGATTTAGTAGAAACACAGATGATAAGCTGGTGTTTCAATGCTGATGTAGGAGATATAATAATAACAATACATCAACAACAACAAAGACAGACTGTGATTGTGTGTTTGTAGATATTGGTTTATACAGCTGCATTAACGCCTAAACAATAGTAAACTATAAATATAGTATCAAATATGGAATACTATTAATAAATACACGGGGAGAGCAATTACGCAATTACAAAAGAGCAATTGATTCGTCTTAAAGCATCCTTTTAAACACACTGTACAGAGGAAAGCCGCGCCGTAATTTGCTCCTAAATCTTATAGAAAGTTGACGCCTGAGTGATTTCTGAGCATGAAGATGTGAATATTGAGGAGCTGAGTAGTTTGCTCACCTCTGCACTGATCTCCCGACCAAAGATCTCTGGAGAACATGGAGTGTTTGAAGAAGTCATTTAAACACGACGAAGACAAGAGAAAAAGCCAAACGTCCTGAAATATTGTTCCAACATTCTCAACTTTTTCCTTCAGCTGAGAACAAGAGCACCGCAAACGGAAACATTGCCGTCTGAAAGTACGACTTAATGTTCATACTCTGGATCATATTAACGTTGAGTTGGTAGTTTAGAGATGAGTGTTTGAATCATGCGGTGAACACGCATGCTCACAACGTAGCGACACTGCTTCAGATGTAAACGTGAGTCTCTGCTGGCTGGTGACTGGAGGTTTATTCTTCTGTTGTCACTTTGTCATCGTGTTGCATGTTAGAACCGTACACCAGAGCATCTTTAGGAACCAACCAGCCTCTCAGTGCAGCTTCTTCTTGTGAGCCGTGGGGATTCTTCATGCTTTGATCCAGCTACTGAATGAAACTAGTCTTTGAAGTTTGTTTCAACAGATTCAACTCTGTGTTACAGACGTGAAGGCCTCCATCATCGGTAAAAAGAAGCCCATGTCTGCCAAGAAAGGGGTGAGTCTCATTTCCACCAAACCACGAGCCTCATGTTTGAGCGTCCTCTTTAACTTTCATCCATACTTATGAATATGTGACGTTGACTCGGTGCAGCTCGGTGCAAAGAAAGGCCTCGGAGCCCAGAAGGTGAGCAGCAAGAGCTTCTCTGAGGTGGAGAAGCAGGCGCAGGTGGCCGAAAAGATGCGAGAGGAGCACGCCGCTGAGGCCAAGAAGCAAGCCGAGGAGTCCATGTGAGGAGACCACTTTACTCTCCTATTCTCACCTCAACTCGTCTCACATCGTTACAAGAATTCCAGTTTTTTTTCTTTGTAATTTTCGTTCTTCCATCCATTTTTTTCAAAATAAGAGATAAAACACTTTGTGCTCCGACATGACTCGTTGTGGCTCTTGCAGCGTGGCCTCCATGCGTTTGGCCTACAAAGAGCTGGAGATCGACAGGAAGATGGAGGAGAAGAAGATCCAGACCCTGGAGAGCAAGAAGAGGGAGCAGGCCGAGAGACTGGGGATGGGCTTCGGCAACAGGAGGTAACGTCCGAGGGTCGGCGAACCGGAAGGTTCCGCTGCACTCGATGGGCTCTCGGTTCTCCTCTCAATGTGTTGCTGTTCCTGTTTCAGCGCCGTGTCTCACTCGGTGATGTCGGAGATGCAGGTGATCGAGCAGGAGACCCCCGTGGGAGCCAAGTCCTCCTCTCGCTCCAAACTGGACTTGTTTGAAGAGCCGGGTTTCACCTCCGGACCCCCGAAGTACGTAAGACACTACCACAGTTTGAAGCTGTCGTATGTGTTGTATTGATTGTTGTAGCATTATATTGATCATATTAGACACCAGTTTGTGATAATGTGCTGAGGGACCACAGACTCTCTGGAACATCTACATTTTGGTGGAAACTGAACCGTTGATTCATGTGCACTGTCCCTCGTAAATAGATGCACTCAAGTCAAACAATGAATATGTTCCTTTGAGAGAAATGTGATTTCAGTCGATGGCGTGATATCCTCTTTGTGCAGCGTCAGCGTTGTTATGAACTCGTGGGACGTCAGGATCTTAAGTCATCAGAGGAACCAGCTGAGCTAACGTTAGCATCATTAGCTCGTCTCTCAGCGTCCTCCGAACAGCGTCGGACAAACACCGATTTCTCACGTGAAGCTGCTTCATTCAGTGTTTTAATCCGTTGTTTCAATAGAGAGAATATTATATATTGTGCTTTTGAATCTCTGATTGTGTGCTTTGACCACAGAAAGATGAGAGCACAAAGAGCTGAACAGAACCCGTTAACGCTCCGCTGTGTTTGATGTTCCAGGTATAAGGACAACCCGTTCACAGTGGGAGACACTTTTGGGTCCCGGTGGGACACCGAGGGAGGAACCGCCTCCTTCACCACCTCCTGGGCTCTGGAGAAAGACGACCCCAAAGAGGAGGTCACCATCTCTAGCATCCAGCCCATTGGAGAGAGGTATCTGCTGTCCTCTGTGTTGTAACGGGACCAATGAAGCCGCCGTTTCCTCTGGACGGTGTGCAACTCTGACCTGCTCTCTGTTTGATCCAGACTCCCCAGCAGAAGGAAAGACGTGTCGGCTCCGGTGTCCGAGTCCAGCGAGGCCCGACAGAAGTTTGCCAACGCGAAGGCCATTTCTTCAGACATGTTCTTTGGTCGGGAGATCAGTGCAGAGGTGAGCAAACTACTCAGCTCCTCAATATTCACATCTTCATGCTCAGAAATCACTCGGACGTCAACTTTCTATAAGATTTAGGAGCAAATTACGGCACGGCTTTCCTCTGTACAATGTTTAAACGGATGCTTTTAGACGATTTAATTGCTCTTTTGTAATTGCTCTCATGATGCATTATTGTCCGTGTTTCATATTTTATATTATATTTATGGTTGTTTCATTCAGTAGCATCACTATCTTTTATTAGGAGTTAATGCGTCTGTATGAACCACTATCCCCCGAACACACACACACACATACACAGTCATTATTATAGCTCCTATATCTCGTTAAAGTACCGTGTTATCCATATTACGTAGTCACATCTTATCTATATTCATTTAGTTCTCTATAATATTGGGCGTTTTTAACATTATTTCGGTGGAGGCTTCAGTGTGCTTTCTGCCTCTTCCTGCACTGTGATATTATTGTTGGAATGCTGTTAAGCTCATTAAGGACACGTGTGCTATGACTTTTCATATTTCTAATCTTTAAACTTTTTGAATTATTAAGCTTTTTGCACATTTGATTTTGAATGGGTTTCTATGGAGAAAATGTTCAAATCCTTCTACTTCCTCATACTTTCAGCTACAGACACCATTTAAACTTTAAAATGTTTAGAAAACCCTGATCTATTGCCGCATTATTCAGCTTTTTGATATCTTTTATACTTTTTGAACTGTCCCATTTTAACTTTTATGATTTTTCAGCCCTTTTCTGACTTTATAATGGGTGTGTATTGCGCAGCTTAGAGTGTGTGACGTCACCGCTAGAGTGAAGAGCAGCTTGAGATTCTTGTGAAAAAAAGATTTGTCTTTTGCCACTGTGTCCACAATCTTCACTCTTCATGCATCATTTCTGGACGTAGAAGTAGCTAATCTTGTCCTTGTCGTAGACAAATGACTGTGGAATCCAACAGATTTACACATTTGACACAGAAGCCTGTAATTGAGAGGAAAACCAACTTTCTGCTCCATAGAGACCAATGTTAAATTTTGCTTCAAAACATCTTCCACAGAACACGGTACCCCATTTCTAGATCGCCAGTTCAGCCACATTTTTTACACTACAGACACAATTTTTACAGTATCTGTTCTTCAACTCATCCTTCCTCTCATTTGTTAATATCGGAGCAATAGGAGCTACGGTTATGGGAGTTTTGAGGATTTGTTTGAGAGGTGTTTCCCTGTTTAATCTCCATGAAAAGGCTGCAAGGACACAGGTGTTCATGATTAAGCTAATTAGTGATGTTGATAAACACACACTCCTCTCGCTCTCTCATACAGTCATTCAGGTCTTAGAGACTTTTAGAGGACCCCCCCCATTTTAAAATAAAAGCCGCACACACATGATTTAGAGATATACGTGATGCAGCTCAGCCAATCAAATATGGGTATTCTGATAAGTTTCCTGATTCGAGTGACATTTACACACACCGCGACACAAGAGGGAGAGACGAGGAAAGACATGGCAGAGCAGGACAATAGTCATGTAAGCTGTAAATGATAAAACATAGGACAATCTCCAAATGAGAAAGATTGCCAGAGAGATCAGAGTCTCTCTCACTCACTCACTCACTCACTCATCCTCTCTCTCTCTCTCTCTCTCTCTCTCTCTCTCTCTCTCTCTCTCTCTCTCTCTCTCATACAGTCATTCAGGTCTTAGAGATTTTAAGAGG